TCTTGTTAAGATTGAGCACATCCATTCTCTTGGAATCTGTCATTCCTGGTGATTCCCTTTGTCAGCTCCTGAATTCTGACCTCTCTTATGCTGTGTATCTGGGATATTTTATTCTGTGCAGGTGATATTCTTGATAGGTCCGTTTTAATAAGATCATGGGGAAGTGGCACCCTTGTAAGGCAGAGACCTAGCCATGTTATTTGCAGGTGCAGAACCAAGAGGTGATGTCATTCTGGGAAGAATCATCCTCTGGTTCCAAAGGCCTAGAGTAAGCCATTCTTTGGGAATTACAAAAAGGCAGAGTTTGGGTCCAGCTGTTGAACAGTGTCATGGGCAGCTTGGAAAACCATCTGACATTTTCTAACCTACAAGAGAAGGCTCCCAGTCTGGAATGGGGTAAATGGAGGCCCATCCTGCATTAGATGCAAGGTCAGAGGGGAAAACCTCTAAGTCCCCTTTCAACTCTGAAACTTCACAACTCTAGATATTTTTCATCCTTTCGCTTGAGCAACAAATATTCACTGAGCATCTCCCATGCGGCTCACACTAGTCTTGAGTCCTGAGCACGCAGCACTGCATGAAAACAGTCTCTACCATCCTGATGTTTCTATGCGAGAGAGAAAACAGCCAATAAAGAAAGGAATTAATACATTAATGTCGGGAAATGATACGTAATATAAATAAAAATGAAGCAGAGTAAGGGAAGTGTTATTGTGTATAAGGCGTTCAGGGAAGACAGTGAGGTGACATTTAAGCGGAGATCCAGAAAATGAGAAGGGATGGGTTTGGGGAGGGCTGAAGGCAGGGAGAGCCAGTCAGGACGGAGGACGAGGGACAAGCACCCAAGCATCTGGCTTGTCTGAGGACCTGAAAGTGACTGACTCATTCAGCGGTGGCCCAGTGTCTCATCACGACAGTTTATTCACTCCCGCATCTGTTGATCTCATTTTTCAATGTCATCGTTAGAGCTCTAATTTATTAATTACCTCCCTCCCATGTGCAAAGCTTTGCCAAACACCTTATGTGTGTTACTTCTAATTCCTTCATCAACACTGTGTGTTGGATCTTACTGTCCCCATTTTACAGATGGAGAAATGGAGAGTCGCTGCATCTTTTTAGTAACAGCCATATGGCTCTGATCTACCCCACTGGAAAAATACTCAGTTCACAGCTGAGTGTTATGTACTTGAGGTATATGTATTGGGCTGAACGCACACAGGTCTACAGAAATGTACTGGAGACTTCCAAGATAAAACCACACCCGCAACTGGGCAGCCAGTCCTTAACCATTTGTCTCGTTAAACTTAAGGAGATAAGCACTGTAGGTACTTTGGAAAACGATTCTCTTGTTTGAAGTCAGTCCTTGAGTTGCCCCTCTTTAGCAGAATTTAAAATTAGGATAATGGTCTTCCTTTCTCTGTTCCTTAATATCCCTAATTCCTAGGATATTGAAATTCTGGACATTTCAATAAACAAAAATCCTCACCCTAAAACCTTGGAAATGTATATTCTGAGCTGACAGAAATTTCTTTACATTTCCAAGGAGATAGCACAGACAGCTGACGAGGACACGGAAACCTGTACAGAGTAGGGGTGTGGCCGTGGGCAAGAACTCTTGGAGATTTTCAAGTCTGCACCATGATGCCCCTGTGGGTCTTCAAACAGCCCTTCCTTTCAGCATCCCCGGGACTTTCTGGCCCTGTAAGGGCCTCGTCGGAATCTTCTTCCCTGTAGCTTTCAGTGGGTCCTTTGCACAAGGGTGGAATTGTGTCCCCCAGTCCCAATTCTGACTGTGGGAAGCATCTTTACAGACATCCCTTTTTCAGACCCTTTACGGGGAAGGACTCACTCAGTTGGAAGAATTGCCTGTCCTCCCAAACACGGCCGACTCCCACCTCTGCCTTCTGACAGCTCAAGGTTTTCAGGTTCTCTTTTTAGCACAGTTCTTTATACATTTACATGAGACGTGCAGTCATGTTGTAGAAGGCCTGCTCGCGTGCAGGTGGGGTGTTCCCGTGGCAGTTCTCGGGTTCCCCATCCTTAGAAGGGCGCCAGCCCCCTGGGGGCTCTTCCCCTCCAGACCTTTAATTTCCAAATCTTCCATCCATGAAATATTTGGTTCTCGGAGCTGCTGGCGGGTGATAACAAGTAGGGAACTGATTGCCATTTGAATTCAGTTGTCAGCCCACTCAGTCATCACAAAAAGGGGGAGGATGAACCCTGTGGTCTTGGACCCCTTTGAGATTTCCCTCCAGGTAACACAGCACCACTCCCCCCACAGGGTCGGCGTCAACAGTCAAGCAAATAATGTCTGCAAAGCACCTGATGGCATTTTCTTCCTCCTCCTCAGAGTGATGATAATTTCCAAGAAGCAAACGCTCAGGAAATGATTATTACAGTCTCGGGTTTGCAGAGACAGCTGATGTGGGTTTGTCCCTGAAATGCTCCTGCTGCGTTAATACCACATTAGCTGGCCAAGCCTTTTATTTGCGGCCTCGTTCAGATAGAATGAAAGGGACTTAGGTGTCTTTCACAGAAGTTTTATCCAAGTGCACAGGGTTCTGGCCCGTCTGAAAGGCTGCGGGGCGGGAGGAAGGTCTCGCCGCCATCTCTCCGATCACAGTGTATGACCACAGTCCTCACTCACCGACAGCCACAAGGAAGGAGACCCCTGTCCCCCTGTGGCGGGGCTGGTCAAACATGGGGTGTATAATAACAATGATCACAGTGAAAGCAGCAGCAGTGATCTTGACTGAATACCTGCCACACACTATGTTTTCCCATTAAATCCTGATCACAACCCAGAGAGAGAGAGAACCACGATTATCCCCAGGAAACCAAAGCCCGGTGTTTTGCCTGCTGTCACACAACAGTGTGTCTGTCCACATATATGCTGGATATGTCCTCTTCCCTTTCCTAATAAAAACTGCACGAGCCCTGCCTTTCCCCTCCAGCTAAACCCCTGGTGCCCGCGGGCAGATCTCCTCCCCGAGCCTCACGAGTTGAGGATCCGTGGACAGCATCACCCGGTCTGTTTCTAGCATTGTGCTGGTATGCCTGGATGTGTCCCGTTTCTCCCCTTGAAGGCTGAACTCCCAACCGCCAGGGTCCACGAGGTTCTCCTTTCCAGCTCTCCAGCATGCGGCTCTCCCAAGGGGTCTGGGCCAAGGCTAGGATGACATCCACTTGGGCGGCGTCACCAAGGAGACTGCTGATGGGTGCTGAGTCATGCTTCTCTCCTTGCCAAGTAAAGTCAACCTGGAGATGACCTGGGGCTCAGACATGCTACAAGTTGCAGGGGGGCTGGGGGACCAGACCATGCCCCCTAGTGAATCACGTTCGAGGAGAACAGGCAAGCTGGGGCCATTTAGCGTGGGAGCTGGCGACCTCTCGTGCTCCGCGGGCCCCCGAGACTTCATGGTGTGGCAGCATTTTTTTACCAAACACATCTGCATACACACTACACACGTACAACATGTACAAAAGGCTGTGCTGGGCACCCTTCCATCACGTTACGACTATTAACTCGTTTAATCTTCAGCAAGCATGTGAAGTGGGTATTGTTGTTTTCTTCACTGAACAGTTGGGGAAACCGAGGTACAGAAAGGGAACGTGATAGAGATGCCAGAGTTAGTAAGTCACAGAGCCAGGATGACTGCCTGGCCGGATAGTACAGCCCTCGTTAGGAGGACGCTTAGCTCTTATGTTCGGTGTACAAACGGTGACAAACCTGTAAGACACTTGAGAACTAGTTTTATGCAAAATTGTTTTTTTTCTTTAAATTTACCTTTGGGAATAAGTTCCAGTTACGTAGGGAATTCTGTTTTTCAAGGAATATTCCCTCCCCCCCTCCAAAATTTAAGCATGTGGTGCATATACAAAAAGAGACAGGTTGAAGGGTACAAATAGTATTAACACATGACCTTTTACAAAGCCCTGGTCTGGGACCCTGTGGTACAGGCAGGGCAGGTTCCTGTCCTATCGTGAGGGATTATGGACCAAGAAGCTGAAGGCTTTGACCAAGACAACCCACCTGGGTCAGATGTGATGCTTGAATCCCAGTCCTAACCATGCCCTCGTAGACTGTATAACTTCCTGGAGAGAGGATGAAAACTGTTCAAAAGTAACGATGGTGTGTTGTCCTTAAGCCTTCAAGTGACCTGTTTTGGTGGCAAATGAATCAAAGAAGCATTTTCGCCTTTCTTGTGCCTCCTACATAAACCAAGCATAGTCCCATAGTCCCAGATTTGTTATACAAATGTCAGTAAATCTTTGAGTTTTTTTTTTTAAAGATTGCATTTTTTTAAAAAGATTTTATTTATTCATTTGACAGAGATCATAAGTAGGCAGAGAAGCAGGCAGAGAGAGAGGAGGCAGCAGGCTCCCTGCTGAGCAGAGAGCCTGATGCGGGGCTCGATCCCAGGACCCTGGGATCATGACCTGAGCCAAAGGCCTTAACCCACTGAGCCACCCAGGTGCCCCTGAGTTTTTTTTTTTTTTAATCCCCTGTTTTAATTTAGAGGGGATTCAAACTAAGACATCCCTGGATTATACCCTCCCCTTCTGTAAAATTATAAATTCTGGGCATGGAGATACACCACCATAGATCATGAGCAGCCCTGACGCCAGCCAAAAGTGACTTGTTCATTGTTTATTTCAGTTTCTCTTGGTCTTGAGAACTTGGTCTCCCGATTGGACCGTCCATTTGGTAATTTTGTGGTGAAAGACTGAGTCTTGTATGTGCCTAATGTAAGTTCTTACCAATATAAAGCAAGGGTTTATCTGGGGCTCGGTAACACTTCTGTGCCCTGAGGCATATCCCATTGATAAATCAGCCAACATGGATTTGTGGCTTCTCTCCCTTGTGCCTGTAGTCACTGATACAGCCTGAGCCCTCTTCCAAGAAGACAGACGTTGGGAGAAAATTGCCAGTGATTCACTGTCTTGGGTTCTGCTTTGAATTTCTCACTCACATACTGTCCTTCTCTTTTCCCCTCCAGGGTCGAGATTACTGTTCCGAAGAAGAGGATATCACATAGCATCCATCCTACCACTGAAACCAGGAGCTACTACTGTGTAAATAGGTTACACCCCAGTTGAAATTTTTCTAAAGGTCGGTTCTCTCTTCAGCGAACAGCACTATAGCGAAAAGAAGATCGTTCCATATCGTATGCCCCATTAAATTACAGTGTTTCTTAATGAACTTGCAAAGGAATATTGCTAAAAACAAACACACAGACACACACACACACAAAAACTGTTCTCGAACTTTCTTTGTTGCTGCTAGTTAAAACTTGTTGCAACTTCTCACTTCTCTTGTGTCCAGGTATGCAGCAAAATTCTGCATTTTCACCTTAAAGATCCTGTCGGTTTTCCAGATGCTCTCCAAACGATTTTCTATATAAGATGAGGTAGTGGTGAACTCAGACATCCAACTTCTGTCATAGAACTGTTCTGCTTCTAAGACAAGCATCTCCTTCCCTCCCTCCTCCCTCTCTGTCTCTCCCGAGCGGTCCAGAGCCTTGCTTCCCACTGCCAGTGCTGCGCTTTGGAGACGGGATGGTTGCTATGGCAAGCCTGGTTTCTCTGCTAAGAAGAGGTAGAGAAGCCATTACCCATTAAGAGCATGTGGGGATGGGACTGCCGGAGTGACGTAGGCGCGAGCGGCAGGTGGTTTCGTTGACGAGGTGTCTTCATCGAGGATTAAGCTTGCAACATTAGCTTTGCTCAGAAGCAGTTGGAAGTGTGATCACAATCATTTTGAATCCCTCCCCACTTTTTTTTCTAAGAAAATAAACATTTTACTGTTTTTATGTATCCTTGTCTTCTCCCATTCGTCCAGTTCAGTGTCTTACGGTGATCCTGGGTGCGGAAGAGGAGCCCTGCTTTGCAGGGGACACCGACAATTGAGCTTCATGGCTCCCTCCCCTCCCACCAATCCGCCACCCATTGGCAGGGCCTCCGGTGGTCAGAGGAGATGAGGGACTGCCCCTCGACGTTTTAGGAAGGCCCGAAACCAGCCCGCGTCCTTTGATTTTATTAGCAGATCAGCCACCCTACGTCCTCACTCGCTCCTTCCCGAATGTTCCGTGAGCCTTGCCACTTCCTTCCTCGCTCCCGCATGGCCCTGGCTAGGACTGTGCCGTGCGTTCCCGTCCTGGACATGTAGTACGTTGACCCTGGTGATGCTGTTTGGAGATGCGGAAGCCGAAGCCCTGGGGCAGTGCTGGGGGAATGTGAACTGTGGGTTTGGTAGAGTTTATTTTTCCATATTATATGAAGAGAATGATCTCTTCTCAGAGACAGAAGTAATATTTTTAACAAATGTTGTCACAAGTAAATAGCAATCAAAAGGAGAAAATAACTTTTGTATTTTTTTAACACGTTTGATAGCTTTGACGAGGGTTCTCTTTGTGACCTTCAGGGCAGGGCGCCCTGCTAAATGCTACGCCCGCAGGCCGGGGTGCGCTTTGCACCCCAGAAGCGCAGAGGGGGAATGTAGGTTTCTCTTCCTGTGGGGTTTGAACAGGGGGGGCGCTCAGGATCAGCTACGCTGTCGCCCTCCAAGGTGGGGAGTCGTGACGCGTCCCGGGTAGCGGAGAGCTCACCTGCCGCAGGCCAGAATAAGCCGCTGAATTCGCTCTTGCGGAGAAGATGAGCCTTGACTTTAAAATCCATCCGTGTAACGGATGGCGCCGTGGATAGATTCCCGATCCGCCATCAGACCCCGGGGCACAGACTTGGGGGGGCAGGAAACTCAGTCAAGTGCTACAGAAAACGGACTCCGATGGTAGCAACAAAAGTCCTTCACTCTTTCAGCCAGCAGCCGCTGTTCTGGGGAGCAGCTGTGGTTGTTCCATAAATAGAGATGCGGCCAAAATGTAAGACTTTTTATCCTGCTTCGAGCAGAAAAATGCAGAGAGAGTCCAGTCGCAGAGGGGTTTACGTTCCCTGCCTTCATGTGGCTTTTGGCCAAGTGACTAAAATAGTTTTCCTCAACTGTCAGTAAACTGCTGAGCGCCCCCTGAAACTTGTCCACGTGGGACTTTGTTCACTGTTACATGATTTGCTGATTCTTCTCGAGCAAGAGTGACACAGGCGCTAAGCATCTCCCACAGGCTGCTCTACCTGGTGTTCTCAGAGCGCGTCCTGTCCTCCCAGAAAACCACCACCTTCTACCCAAAGATGATACATGCTCATACCATTTTTTTTCTAGTCATGTTTAGCATGTGGACATGATACATGTGCGCCCAGAACCAAGTGTTCTTGGGAAGTTGACTTTTGAGTGTTTTGTAAAACTAGAAACTGGTTCCCGCTCGGGGGCGGGGGGCGCTTTTCACCTGGAGTTCTTGTCTCCCAAGTTTAACTCTTCGATGCGCAGACATGATTTCATCTGCGGACAAGTTTGTATATCTAGAAATAGATCTGAGAAACGGGGTGGTTGAGTGGGTTGGAATGAGATGCTTGACGATGTTAGCAACACTCAAAACTGTTTTTTCCATCGTTGGCTTTAATCATAAAATTGTCAAGTGATTTGTGTTTGTACTTTTTTTTTTTTATGCCTTCTGCAAAGGGTCTAATGCGGAAATATTTTGCCTACCCCCCTCCCCCCGCCATGTATCTGAACATGAAGCAGATTGTCTCAGATACCATGAAAAGAATCATCTAGAAACTAGTGCTTCTGCTGGCTGAGGACTCAGGGAGATGGAAGGAGGGAGGGAGTGGAGTGGCCTGGGGGAAGAAGGAAGGACGAAAAATGGACTGTGAGAAGCATTCAGCAGAAAGTTGATAGCATGGCCCCACGCTTGGGTGCAATTCAAAATACAGCTGCCTGGCGGCCAGTGGGTGGGGCCGACCGTCTAGAAGATTTATGGCTGGGTCTCACACGCTGTCTGTGCTCCTGGGTTGTGGAGCTGTCGAAGTTCAGCAGTGTATGTGCTGCTTTCTTTTGGTTGGCGGAGATTCAGGATCATGGAGTACTTGCTGTCTTAACTGAGTACGTGTTTGTTACTGGCAGAGAACCTCAAAAGAGTCTTTTACCTCAGCCAAGCCTCTCAGCCCCCAGGCTGAGTCTAGAGAGGTGTTAGGGTCTATTTAGGGACAAAGAACGAATGAAGTCCAGAGACGAGGAACCTAAGTCAGCCTTCGGTGGCAGCAGGGGCCACCCACGGACCTGCGGGGAGACGGGTCTCTCCCCCTCCTCACAGGCCCTGCTCTGAGACTGGGCTGCTCTGACTCGAACGAGGGATGAGCTGGCAGAGGAACGAGTAGCCTCAGGTCCTTTGTGGTCCACACTGGTGTGGCTGCCAGGCAGGGAAGCTCCTCGGTATCAGGGGAGCCCCCAGAATCAGCCCAGGATGAGCCTCCCCACCCATGCCTGACGCTTGACGGCTCCCAGGAGCAGCCCAGGGATGATGGCGCCCTCGTCTCCATCCCACTGGATGCCATCCTGCTTTGAGTCCCAACTGCCCTCCTCCCAACCTCATCGAGACTTTTTTTCCCCTAAGGGCCAGACTCTCCCAGAAGCCTGCTAAAAGCCGAGATTGTACCTCTCATGAATTTTACCTCAGTACCTGTGATGCAGGCAGCATATTGATTACAAACTGCTTAGACATTAGGCAAGAATTGCAAAGGAGCGCTCCATCCCTACTGGTCTTAGGAAGGAAACCCCATTAAATATGTTGGTTTCAAAGGAAGAAAAATGATCCATGTCTTAAGCCAGGAAAATACTGACTCTGAATCTTGGACTTCAGGACTCTGATACGTTCTTTTTGAAAAGCCTCCCAACTCCCAAATTTTAAAAAAAAAAGCATTAGCTTGCACTGGATCATTTGATAGAAAATCTGCTTTCCGTGCTTTTGCCCCTGGGAGGCATTTTTAGAGCTTGATTTCTTTGTACCTCTCAGAAATTAAGCTTTTTGTGAAGTTGTGCAAAACCCCAGTAGAGAAAGAAGACCTGGTTGGGGAGAGGGAATGCCTGTCTGGGAGCACGGTGGAAAGGTGGCTGGACGCAGGGACACTGGCTTCTGGATGTCGCGTGTGGACCTCTGGGTCCCCACAAGCCTGTGGGCACCTGGGCGAGGCACTCGGCTTCCCCGCCGCAAACGTCCTCGCAGTAAACCTTTGGAATTTTGTGTCTTCTATGAATTGCCTTTTGCCATTGAACGGACATGTTTTTCCAAGGGGAAAACATGTCTGTCAGTCACCTTTTCGCGTGTCTGTGGAAAACGATCAAAAAAACTACAGCAGAAACCGGGGCTGCTGAGTGAATGTATTTGACTTACGTGACCGACCTTTAGACGCACTAGCTCGCCCACGTCTCTCAGGAGACTCTTGTATCTTATCTGGGATCTGACCTAATCTTGGGGAAAGAGGAAAAGGAACTAATATTTATTATTTACGCTCACGCCGTGCCAGATACTGTGCTGGGAATTTTGTCATTGTCTTGTGTCATCCTCCCAGTGTGATCCTGTGAAGTGAATCTGTGACCCTCATGTTCCGAGTGGCATTTTCTAAGTACAGAATGCATCTATCCAATATTAGTGCCCGCGTGGGAAGAAGGAAAGATGTCATTCAAGTAGTCTCCGAATTTTGTTGTTCTTACTCTGCCCTTCGCAACACTGTGAAAAGAACCCTTCGGGGCTTCTCTCTTCCAGAATCACTCTTTGGCTCATCCCCAGCTGGGTTTGCCATGGGGAGTGTTTTCCTTGGCCTTCCCCGGATCTGATGAGCTACACACAAACCACCAGAGGCTGCTGGCTAACAGAAATTTTGTGCCCAGAAGGAAAAGGCTTTGGGGATTTAGGCACATGTCTCGCTTTCTGGAATCCTTTCAGCATCTGGAAAAGGAACCTGTACTTCTAGAGTAAAATTCCAGATGCAACCAGAACAGGCCTTTGCATGCTGTGATTTCTTTCTTGGCTCCCAAGGCTTAGTTCATCCCAGACTGCATCGTGTTAGGGTGAAAAATCTTAATCTTGCAGAGAAGTGTGGGAGAACCCGATCACCCAGCGTAGACGATGGGCTTGGACCGTTGACTTGAAATCCTTTCTTGTGGGTCAGGGCTGGATGTCTCTGTCCAGTGTTTGAACCGGGTCTGTATTTTCCAGGCCAGCTGACGCGCCGCAGGTCACTGTGAATCTCTTTCGAGACTTTAAATGTTTTGGAGAGTCGTGTCGTGTCGTGACTTAGACAGTCACTTAAATAACGCGTGCAAGGTCGGAAGAGCCCAAGAACTCCCCAGAGTTCCTTTCCTTGCTTCTCAAGGCACGTCCTCTAAAACAGAGGACTCACGTCTCCATGGCAACTGTTAAAGGTGCTGTCCAGAGGGGACCCACCCCTGCTCTCACTCGGCTAGAAAGAATCAAAAAAAAGTTCCTTGTGGAGAGGGGGTGCTACTATGTTCAGTTTTCTCTGAAAACTGTCCCCAAGATCTTGCCTCTTTCAACCCTGGCAGCTGTCAAATTCCTTCAAGATAATGTGGGAAACGGCTCTCGTCTCTTGTAAGCCAGAGAAGTGGCTTTAATTCAACAAGATCGTTCCTAAACCAAAGGCCTCATTCTAATACCGTCTTCCCCCTCTACCCAGAATTCTCCCCTTTTTCCCTTTCCGGGAGTTATTTTTAGCCCAAGGCTTTGAACATGATTGAGTAAGACTTAAAAGCAGTAAAAAGAACACAGTAAACTCAGCCAGAACTGCCGGAGGGTCTCCAGGGTTGCAGATAGTTCTAGAACCTTAGGGGCCACTTGGCCTAGACCCAGAGGGAATAGAAGAGCCACTGTTTGGGGGCATTTCAGTCCCGACCTTCAGGGACTGTT